GTGTGTGTGTGTGTGTGTGTGTGTGTGTGTGTGTGTGTGTGTGTGTGCGCGCGCGCGTGCCACTAGGTGCTGGAGGTGTTTGAGAATGGCAGTTACTTCCAGATGGTGATGGAGAAACATGGAGATGGCTTAGACCTTTTTGAGTTCATAAACATGGAGCCGAGGCTGGATGAGCCCCTGGCCAGCTACATCTTTAGACAGGTACGTCCATGGGCAAGAAAGTACGTATGACGGGAGCATCGGCTCTGAAATGTGAAGCGTTCATTGGTCTAAATTGGAGGTTCTGTCTCTTCCCCAGCTGGTGGCCGCTGTCTTCTATTTGAGGACTAAAAACATCCTTCACAGGGACATAAAAGATGAGAACATCATCATTGACAAATGTTTCCACATGCGACTGATAGACTTTGGCTCTGCTGCCATGATGGCTCCCAGGAAGCTCTTTTACACTTTCTGTGGCACACTGGAGTTCTGCTCCCCGGAGGTGCTTCAGGGAAATCCGTATGTACACAATGCCTGACAACGACAAGTGATATTTGTTCCAACAAATAGGAAGTTTCATATCGGTTCCTTCTTTTTTAAATATAGATGGTTTAGTTTAAACTGGGAATAGGTGTCCTTTTGATTACACAGTTCTCTTAAAGCATTAAAACCGAATCTAGGTCAGAGCACTGTTTTCTAGTCCTGTATGACTTTAATGGCTCATTAACCTTTACGATGTACAATTAAACTACATGGAGCTTTAAGGATATACCAATTGTAAAGTAACAAAGCCTTACACAGACACTACATTTACTGGGGAATACAATGCTGCCATGTTTTCCATATTGCCAATTACAAGCTTGTTTTTCTGTGTCCTTGTTTGTTTGTTTGTTTGTTTGTAGCTATGAGGGTCCAGAGCTGGAGATGTGGTCTCTTGGTGTGTTGCTCTACACGCTGCTGTTCGGTGAGAACCCTTTCTGTGGCGTTGAGGAGATCCTGAATGCCGAACTGAAGCCCCCGTTCCCCCTCTCTCCAGGTATACTGCTGTTCTTTGACGGTCACATACAAAACTTTACAACAGCGTATTAGGGCCACTGTAGGCAAAAAAATTATAATAATTACGGAGCCGTGAAAAAAAAGTACTAAACAAATTTAAAGAGGAAAGAAACAGCAATTTATGATATATTGTAGAAGTCACAGGAAAGTAGAGAACAACTTCTATCTTTGACAAAAGTGTCTTTTATACTACAAATACACTGATTCTGTAGTTGCACACGGACGCTTTTATAGGGCCGTGTGTAACTGTCAGTGTGAAGGGAAAACAACACAGAAAAGGCACATGACATACAGTAACTGCTTGTGTTGAACCACAGATTATGGTGAATTCTGTCCTTAGAGTTTGCTGGGCAGAGGGACGTCTAGAATAAGACGAGTGGATGAGAATAGAGCGTCTGCTACAATATAATATATTTTGCACTCGGTGGCTCACCTCACCGCAGTGTTTAACGGAGGCATCTGTGGTGTGATGAGGTCGATAGGACCTCGCAAAGTTAAACAATGTGGTTCCTTGACAACAACAAAAAAACTAAACTATTTTTGTTAGCAGTGTTTTGCACTACTCCAATGGCCCTAATACGTCGTCACAAATAAGCCTTTCAGTTTCTACTGTGCTGAAATGTCCCCATGCACCCTCTCAGACCTGCACGGTGTGTTGCGTGAGCTGCTGCACCCTGATCCCGCTCAGAGAATGACTCTGGACCAGCTGCTGCTGCAGTCCTGGATCAGCCAGCCCATTTCACTGGCAGAGTACAGCTGGACAGAGGTGGTGCCTGCCACTCAGAGCTACTGTGAGTACTGTTTCACACCAGAGGTAGACTGACAATCGCCAGCCATGTTGTTCACTTCAGACATTATAGGGCTTGAATATCACTTTCTTTCTGCATTTTGCAATATTTGTAAATGAATCTCTTTACATCCAAATTAAGATGGTAGATTTACTTAACTTATTTTCCCTCCTTGCTTTAACAAGCTGCTAACTCTCCTAAACTAATTGAGTAAGCGTTGTCTTTTTTTTTTTTTTTTAATTTTGTCTCATTTTAGAGGTTCAACAATGCACACGTCATTACCGGATGTTCTGTGATGCCACACTGTTTCTTTGCATAGATGTTGCCATAGAGAATCTGTACGATCTGTAGTCTCAGTTTTCACAGCTCAAGTACTTGGGACCCTCTCTTCTTTCCACAGACTCACCACAGCACCTGGAGCCCATTCCTAAAGTGTTCATCTCGCATGGCTTGTTCCCAGATGAACATGACGAGACTCTTCCCGATGATGAGGAGGAGGATGAAGATGACAGGTTGTCAATGGTGGCCCTGGAAACAGAGCTTCAGAAGTACCTCCATGAGGATTAAAGAGTGAATTTGGGCCCAGCCATCCGTCCAACATTTAGTGTGCAGCAGAACAAAAGGGACATGAAGTTCAAAGTAAGAAAAAGGGAGCTCGTCTTAGTCCAAGGCCATAATCAAACACTACCGTCTAACTACCGTTCATCATGATTTCCTTTTTAGATTGTGTGTTATATGTATTTTATTTATTCTTTGGACTTAATCATTGTAATTGTAACAGGGATCCAGCTTTGCCACCAAAACCCAGAAGCGACCACAACCGTGAGTTGTTTAACTCAGAGAATTTAGTTTGGTTGAAGGGAACAGTTTTATCAATCCGGCTTTTCTATTTTGGGTTCATGATTTTAATCTTGAGTGTTTTTAATTAAGAATTGTAAGTATATTTACAATATTTTATCTATTTATTTTTATACATAAAGAAATATTTGACCACACCTGTTTGTTTCTTTGAGGAATTGCATGTTGATCAGAACTGTAGAAGGTTTGTCACGCAAACATTGTAAATGTATTTGAATTTTATATTCACACAGTAAATCATTAAATGTAAGCGCAATAAAAAAATTCAAATTGCAGATTCTAACATGGTGATGTATCGGATACTTTTGGCAGCAGCTGCTTGGTGTGACTGATGCCAACTGCAGATATCCAAAATAAAAGCTCAATTGGATTAAATTTTTCAGACCTAGTATTGCAAATATTGTAAATCAACTTGAGTTAAGGTTAAAATACTTAAACAGTAATAGTAATAGTAATAGTCCACCTTGCTTGTGTATAAATCTCGTCTCCTCTTTCGTAAATCCATCAGTAATGGTTCGTGTCCGTCTACAGAAAAATCATTCAAAAGTCAGATTTCTGCTGTGCACCCTCGTAGTGTCTGCTCTTCTCATCATTCAAGCTGAGCATAGCGGAACCTTTATCCTCTAACGAGGCTGAACGACGGAAGTATATGTCCGACGGACAAGCATGGGTACCCGAGTTGCTGCACGTCAGGTGAATCTAAATCTTTGAAAACATTACACGATTAATATTTCTCCAACTTAAAACATTATATCGTAAAACGCATGCCTCACATACTTAAAACAAATGTCGAAGAAACGACTGACAGCCCTCATACTTCCGCTGTAACCTTCATGCATGCTAACTTATGCTAACAACATCTTAGCTCATCTACTAAACTCCACTTGTGTAATTGCCCCACGGCCATAACAGCGGCCGTTGTCCTGTCCTGACTGTTAAACCATAATTCAGGGAACAAATAACGTTTGAGGAATATATATATATATATATTTATTTATTTATTTTCCACAGGTTCTTCGGTGGACCGGGTTAAATGCCACCTCCTCTGTATTCAGTCCACTTCATTTTGGAACACGTCCCCTCCAGCCTCTATGCACCGGGTGCAGATTGATCTGTTCCTCCAGCAGCCACAACGCTCTGCGGTCAACGCAACACAACCACGAACTCGGTCCTCAACCCAGGGCGCCAGTCCCAGAGCTGTCCCTCCGCTCTCTGGTTGATATGGGATTCACAGACTCCCAGGCAGAGCAGCTACACGAAGCCACGTCCAAACTCAGAGGAGGAAGTGCTGCCCAACATGCTCTGTCAACCCTCACGGCTCTGTTTGTCTTGGGCCTCAACCCTTCCAGTGTGCTGAAACTGCTGGAGAAATGTCCTGAACTTTACACAGTCAAAGAATCACAGCTCCAGCAGCGCATGGGCAACATGCGGAAATTAGGTTTAGTCGAAGGTGAGTTGATGATCTTTGGTGAATTTACTTCATGCTTGATATTAATGGGTGCTTTGTATGATTATCAAACCAGTATTTTTCCTTCTATCCCCTCCCCGTTAGGCAGTCTTCAGAGAGTGGTGTCCCATTACCCCCAGATCCTGACCGTGCCTGTGAAGACAGTAAAAAGTGTGGTGGTGTTCCTCAGAGAGAAGTGCCAGTTTACTGTCCAGCAGGTCGCAGACATCCTCAGAGATAGTCCGGCCATAGTTTTGGAAAACATGGGTCAGCTGGAGTACAAGTTTCAGGTTTGCATTTTCGGTCATTCACTGATTGCAGCTCCTCAGCTCTAGATATTTGGGTTTTGTACTGGACAAAACAAGAAATTTGAAGACTTTACATCAACAGATGGGCCTTATTTTTTATTTTTTTTTTAATTCCAACATTTTATTGAATAAATGATGCTACGCTGAATCAAAATCTGAAACAGTCATTAGTTGTAGGCCTAAAAATTGTGCTGTTCTTATGGTAGACGGCGGATTTATTGACTTCCTCAAAGCTTAACCAAACATCACATCAGGGGTCACAGTAGTAAAAGACAACCCTCTTCTCTTGCTGTTCACATAGCCTTTGTTTATACAGTACAATGCAATACGCACTATTTACTTTTCCACTTGGCATACAAGAAATCAACATACTTTATTGTTTCGCTCTAACAGGAAATGATACAAGACCTGTTGCTGTTTCATTGCCATCCACAATTTGATTACCCTTTTTTTTTTCCCCAGATGTGAGCAGCACATCCATTTCCTTTCAATGTGGGACGATGGTGTCAATCAACAGCACACTCGAAACCAAGCATTTTTAGTGTCCATACTGACTGTTTTTGTTAGTGTGAACACTTCATTCTCTAAACCTGCTTAGTAGATTGGAATTTGGACGCTGGTATAGTACTCCCTCTGGTGGCCATACATGAAGTGGGAACAAACATTAAGCCACTAGTAATCTGACATATGCCATGTAGCCGTATGTCTGTTGGGTTACTTGCTATTCCACTTACTAAATACATCGTATCTGTACAACTAGTATTATAAATTATTATTTGAGGTTATCTTTTGTTGCTTTTTTTTTTTGTCGTTCCAAAGCGATTGTTATTTGTGACAGCATGCACTGACTCTTCTCTCCACAGTACGTCTACTTCCGGATGGGTGTCAAACAGGCGGAGATAGTGAAGTCCAGGCTGTTTCGTTTCACTCTGGACGAGGTGCGCTGTCGACACTGTTTTCTGGAGCGCAGGGGCCTGTATCAAACCCCAGACAAGAAAGGCCAGACGGTCATCCTCAACCCCAAACTGGACAGCATCCTCAGCGTTGACCAGGACACCTTCCTCGCACATGTTGCCAATGCGCCAGCAGAGGAGTATGAAGTATTTAGGAGACTGCTGGCAAGAGAATGGCAGGAAGAAGAGCAGCAGCATGGCAGCATTGAAGCTGATAGTGGTGGTGATGATGATGAGGAGGAGGTAGAGGAGACTGGAGGGAAAGGTGGATACAGTAAAAGGAGAAAAAAATGACAGAGCCCCGTGGGAGGACTGAGAGAACTTGTTTCAAGAGGAAGTTGCACGATAAGAGAAAATTACATACCCGATGGTGATAAATGAACCAATAAAATGTTTCCTTTTATCCGTTTGTTGAACTCAAGTTTGTCAGTGCTATAGAAAATGCTTATCTAAAACACACATGGAAACAATGTCACTGTTACCCAGCGCTTGTTCTTTTTTGTACCCATGCTACTGACAGATTGGACTGAGAGAACCCTGCGGTTTGAAGTTGATCAAGATGTAATGATGTCGGTGTGAGGTTGATGGATGAGGACTCTGTATGGATGAGTTACAGCTGTGAGGCGTGAACAGTTTCTCCCATATAATCTTTCCACGGTCAAAATAAGTTTGTGGCTTTGCTTAAGTGACCCCACAAGTTAAAGCAATTTCAAAGAAAATGTGAATCTTATCAATTTAATCTCGGTGGCTTTCAATGAGTGAAAACAAAAAATACAACTAGTGGGTAGTAAACAATGATAAAGTGGCAACATGAGGAATAGCTGGTAGGATGATAGCCCCTCCCTGTTACTATGTGACTGCCAAGTGGCTGTAGCTTTCTCCATCCCTATATTATCTGTATGAGTCAACAAAGAGGACATCAGATAAGGCCAGCGGGTGAGACGGGTCGAACAAGACCTCCATTGATTTTTAGAAGCGCAAAGCCTAATGGACGTGTAACGCAGAGGTTTTTTTCTGTTCTGGACATAAGGTAAGAAAACTGACCTTTGGCCAATCAGTAATTTGTCAATAAGTGCGTCTATGCAAAGTTTGAACAGAACCAACTGATTTTCTGTTTTTGTCTCAAGTGTTAAGAGTATTTGTAAGCATTTAGTGGGGTGGCAGGAGCATAACTATCAGGTTTGTATACAAAAAAAACTATATTTAATTCTGATGCCCCATCTGAAAGTGTAGGGAAATATGTCTAATAAAATTCCCTAAAAGATTGTTTCATCCAAACTGCAGTCCAACTGAAGTCAATTGTAATTTTTAAATAAATGTGAAATGTACATCTTGTAATGTTTCATGTTACATTGAGTTAATTATTGACAACTCATTTGCATTTTCTTTCATTTGGAACATGCCATTTGAGGGGTACAGACCATCACTGTATATATATTTGAATTTTTGGCCTCATTTCCCGAGTCCTTTGGACTATAAATAACCAAGAGGAGCACTACAAAAGATGTATCAATGTCTGAGTCAGCCAAGTGACAAATGTATACATTACATGTTTGCCCAGCCTGCAATCCTGAGATCCTGAATCTAAAATATGGGTAACACTTTATAATAACTACACACTATGAAGCATTAGTTAGGTATGAGTAAACACTTAATTCATCATTTATAAAGCATTATTCCTACATTAATTATTCATTAGTATGCAGTTCATAACAGTTACATCAACAAAGCATTTATAAATGACATTGAAAGGCCAGCAGTGCCTCAAAACACATAGTTTTTGAACAGAACAGGCAAATAGACACAACACAAAGTGATCAAGAACATATTAATATTTATTGCAAGATGCAAACAATATACTGTTAAATACAAACCTCTCAGCCATTCATTCATGTAAGAAACAAACAGACAAAGACATTCTCCTTCAAGAGAACATGGCTGGATACAAAACATTTGTAAATATACGATTAGACCAGGAGCTTTGCATATTAGTTTATATTTATTGATTTAATTATTAATTTCATACCAAGCATATCGATCTCCACTGTCCGTACTTTTCTTCACTTGCCTGTCCCGATGGCAGCCGGCCGAATCTGCTCATTGTATGCAATTATCTTATTAATCATCTACAACTCCTTAATAATTGGTTTGTAAAATATATAATACTTAATTTACTAATGGGGAATCCATCATTTAAAAAGTATGAAAACACAATAATGAAACACATAATAGACGAGCTTATTAATCAAGAATAAAACATTTATAACTGTTGTTATGAACTGCATACTAATGAATTATTAATGTAGGAACAATGCTTTATAAATGATGAATTAAGTGTTTACTCATATTTAACTAATGCTTCATAGTGTGTAGTTATTATAAAGTGTTACCAAAATAGGTATATGAAATAGTCTCTATACACCTTACTGCTTACTTGTATGCATTTACATGCTTGCATTTTGAAGGTGGTCCACTCTGTTGACTTAAATTCATGGTCTTTTCATTAACAGAAGCTGCTGGAGGAAGTAGTCAACACACTGTAAAACACACCTCAGTCGGAGCATCTGTGCCTCCGTAGCTGAAAAGACAAAATGACGTCATCGACGCTCATTTCAAACCTCACACAGGAATGGGTGGAGAGCCTGCTGAGGTGGCACCTGGATTTGTTATCCATCCCAGCCACAGTCATCACTCTGGCCACCTTGCTGGCCGACCCCGTTCTCCTAACATGCATTTTCCTGTCCCGTGCCCTGCGTCAGGAGACGCGTTACCTGCTGATGGCCAACACCCTGACGGCGGACATGCTCTTCCTCGTCCTCAACCTGGCCATGGTGATCTGTAACGCCACGAGAGCTCAGATGTCCTGGCTGGTCTGTCAGCTGATCACAGCCGTCACCGTCACCACCTACAGCTGTGCCATCCTCACCATCACCCTGATGGTGGTCGACACCTACGCTGCGGTTCGCTGGCCCCTCCGTTACCATGACCTTCTTCCACCTGCCCGCACCCACCGCATACTGCTGGGGGTGTGGGTGCTGGCAGCCCTGTACCCTCTCAGCCTGGTGATCATGATGGAGGTGGAGAGGGAAAACTCGCACGAAAGGGTGGCTGTGTGTCTGGTCCTCATCTCCCTTGGCTTTATTCAGGTCAAGAACATAGGGTGGATCTACGTCTACTTCTTCGTAACTGCGGTCATGTGTGCCATACTCATTTTTGTCTGCTACATTCGGCTCTACATGGTAACAAGGACCCAGGGCATCTGGCAGAGCCGCTTCTCCAGGGCCCGGGTCACACTGCTGGCTCACGGGGTCCTTCTCCTGCTCTACTTTTCCCCCGGCTTTGTTTTCATCATGGAGCTCTACCTGTTCCAGAGGAAAGACATAAGTCAGGATCTACGAGTGTGGGTCAGCACAGTCAATATGTGTGTCTTCATGTTGCTGCCCAGGGCGTTCGCTCCATATCTGTATGGGCTGAGGTACAGGGAGATCTCTGACACTCTGATGCAGTGGCTGCACCAGCACAGGAGACTCAGCCAGACCACAGTTTCATGAAGACACCTGCAAACTGTCCGTTATTCAAATTTCTTTCATGGAATTGATTGTGATGTACATATTTTCAGTTTTCTCAGTTGCCCTCCAAAAAGACAAAGATGTAACTGCAAGGGCAGTAGTCAGGATGAGTCAAAATCCCCCCAGTGCATTTATTTTTATTTTGACTAGCCATCAAAAACAGAGTCTATTTATTACAATATAATGTTCGTTGGTGAATATTGTCTAAATGCTGTTTCAAAACTCTCCCCAAATTCCAAATTTGGCCTACAGCTATCATATTTAAGAACACTGATTGTAAAACACCATGCGTAATTTGTGTCTAAATATAGAACAGAACTCCTCCTCAACTCAAATTCCAATGTCCACTGTGTTCTCAATGGTAGCTACAGCCTTGGTCGCTGCCCAGTAAAATGTAAATTGGTTATTCAACATCCCTGCCAACTGTAGTCTCGTGTGTTTGATAATAATAATACGAAGGAGAAGAAGAAGAAGAAGAAGAAGAAGAAGAAGAAGAAGAAGAAGAAGAAGAAGAAGAAGAAGAAGAACTATTTTACTGCTGTGTGGATCCAAATGAGAATATGCTGAACTTCCTTGCTTTCCAGGTTTATGTCTCTGTTGAGACAATTTTTAATCACCTTTTTTTTGTTGTTGAAGTAAATAGTACAACCAAAATATGTATTTCATCATCAGCATTATTATATAATATAAAAGCCACTCAGCCTCAGTTTTATGACCATACTGTGGTAACAAAGCACTCAACTCCATTTGCCCTCAAAGCCGTGTTTGGCTAAAATTAGTTGTCCATTAACAAATGGCTGAATGATTTTATGTATGATAAATGCCACCACCTCTGTATTCAGTCCACTTCAGTTTGGAACACGTCCCCTCCAGCCTCTATGCACCGGGTGCAGATTGATCTGTTCCTCCAGCAACCACAACGCTCTGCAGTCTTCAGAGAGTGGTGTCCCATTACCCCCAGATCCTGACCATGCCTGTGAAGACAGTAAAAAGTGTGGTGGTGTTCCTCAGAGAGAAGTGCCAGTTTACCGTCCAGCAGGTCGCAGACATCCTCAGAGACCAAGCACCGTAGAGCCGTCTCCATCTCCTGGTTCTAGCGCTCAGTCTGGCCGTTAGACTGCGGATGGAATCCAGATGGAATCCAGGCTGGCTGTGGCCCCAATAAGTGTGCAGAACTCCCCCCAGAACACTGACGTAAACAGGTCCCCGGTCAGGGACCACGTCAGTGGGGAGACCATGGAGCCGGAAGACATGCAGCAGGACCAGCTCAGCAGTCTCTTTGGCCGAGGGGAGCTTGGACAAGGGCACAAAGTGGGCCATCTTGCTGAACCATTCTACCACTGTCAGGATGGTGATGTGTTTGTTGGACAGTGGTAGACCGGTAACAAAGTCCAAGGAGATGTGGGACCAGGGCCGATGGAGCACAGGCAGAGGTTGCAGGAAGCCAGCGGGAGCCTGGTGGGATGGCTGGTGCTGGTTGCAGACAAGACAGGCATTGACGAACTCCCAGGTGTCTTTCTCCAGAGTAGCCCACCAGAACCTCTGCTGCAGGACCTCCCTGGTATGCTGGATCCTGGGGTGGCAAGTGAGTCTGGAGCTGTGTGCCCACTGGAGGACATCGGACCTCAGTGTCTGAGGGACGAACAGGCGGTCAGGAGGTAGGATCGGGCTGGTCCTCCAGGGCGGCCTTGACTCTCTCCTCTACCTCCCATGTGATCGAAGCAACCACAACGGGGGCAGAAAGGATATTGTCATTGCCAGGGGTGGAATCCCCCTTCTCCACAAACTGACGGGACAGGGCGTCAGTCTTGAAGTTGCAGGTACTGGGCCGGTAACAGAGGGAAAAAGTTGAATCGCGTAAAAAACAGGGACCATCTGGCTTGCCGAGAGTTCAGTCTTTTGGCGGACTGGATGTACTCGAGGTTCTTGTGATCAGTCCATACCAAAAAGGGCAGACTGGTCCCCTCAAGCCAGTGGCACCATTATTCAAGAGCCAGCTTAACTTAGTCATAGTTCGTTTCAGCTAGTGAGAGCTGCCTAGAAAAGAAGGCGCAGGGGTGAAGCTTCTGGTCGTTGGCAGCCCACTGGGATAGGATGGCTCCCACCCCAACATCGGAGGCATCCATCTCCACAACAAACTGTCTCTCAGGATCAGGCACTTGGAGGATAGGGGCAGAAGTAAACCGGGCCTTAAGGTTCTGGAAGGCCTCCTCAGCCGAGGGGAACCACTGGAACAGCACTTTGGATGAGGTAAGGGCTGTGAGTGGGGCAGCCATGGTGCTATAGCTGCAGATGAACTTCCGGTAGAAGTTAGTGAACCCCAGGAACCGTTGCAGCTGTTTACGTGAGTCAGGGATGAGCCAGAACGTAACAGCTGACACCTTGGCAGGGTACATCTGCACGATCCCCTGTCCCCCGATGTACCCTAGGAAGGAGACTGATGAAGAGTGGAATTCCCACTTCTCCGCCTTAACGAACAGAGATTTCTCAAGGAGGCATTGAAGGACTGCTTGGACGTGGTGAATGTGCTCCTCCCGGGACCTGGAGAAAATCTGAATGTCGTCCGGGTAGACGAACACATGCCTGTTTAACATGTCTCTCAGCACGTCATTAACCAGGGCCTGGAAGACGGCTGGGGCATTGGTGAGACCGAAGGGCATCACCAGGTACTCGTAATGTCCAGTGGGGGTGTTTAAAGCTGTCTTCCACTCGTCACCCTCCCGGATCCGGACCAAGTGGTAGGCATTGCGCAGGTCTAGCTTGGTGAAGATGGTGGCTCCCCGCAGCAAGTCAAAGGTAGAGGAGATGAGTGGGAGTGGGTAACGGTTATTAATGGTAATGTCGTTAAGTCCCCTGTAGTCAATGCAAGGCCTCAGTGACTTGTCCTTCTTCCCCAGGAAGAAAAACCCAGCACCAGCAGGTAAAGAAGAGGGGCGGATGATCCCAGCAGCTAGAGAGGAATTTATGTACGCCTCCATGGCCTCTCTTTCAGGTGCAGACAAGGAATACAGGCGACCCCTGGGTGAAGTGGTGCCTGGTTGCAGGTCAATGGCATAATCGTAGGGGCAATGTGGAGGCAGAGATGAGGCCTTGGCCTTACTGAATACCTCCTGATAGTCATGGTATTCAGTAGGCCCCCCTGACAAGTCTGAAGCAGAGCTGGAACAGTCTGATTGTTGGGGTGCAGCAGCTTGTTTCAGGCAAATCAGGTGACAGGATGAGCTCCACCCCAGGATAACTCCTGTTGCCCAGTCTGGGGGTTATGGCAGCGGAGCCAGGGGTATCCCAGGATTACTGGATGCTGGGGTGCCCGCAGTATAAGAAACCATATGGTCTCATGGTGGTTACCAGACAGGAGCATACAGACTGGTGTGGTCTGGTGAGTCACTGTCCCCAGTAGGTGACCATCCAGGGCGCTGGCAGGAACAGGGCATAGCAGAGGTACCTGGTCGATACCCAGCTGAAGGACCAGATCCTCATCAATGATGCTGTTGTCAGCACCAGAGTCAATGAAAGTAGCGAGGGTGTGGGATCCATTATTGAGCAGGAGCTGAACGTGGCACAGGGGTCTTTGGTTGGAGAAGTCTTTTGGTTCGGCTCACCAGTACATCCCCCACTACTGATGAGCCGTGCCTTTTGCTGGGCACCGGGATATAAAGTGACCAGCCTGGCCACAGTACAGGCAGAGATTCCCCCGGTGGCGGCGTTCACGCTCCTCTGGAGTGAGGCTGGTGTCCCCAACCTGCATGGGTTCAGCGCCCCCAGGTTGAGACCCTGGGGTGATGCTGGTAGCTGCTGGAGGACCTCGAGACCGGGTGAAAGAGCGGCGATCTGTCTCCCCCTTGCGTCGCTCCTGTCGCCTTGCCTGGATGCGTCTATCCACTTGGGAAGTCAGTTCAACTAAGCCATTCAGGACGGAAGCCAAATCAAAAGAGACCAGTTCATCCTTAATATATTCTGCTAGTCCAGCCAGAAAGGCGTCGCACTGAGCTGCAGAGTTCCAGTCACTAAGGCGTGCTCTAGTGTGAAACTCAATGGTATAATCAGCAACTGTCCGGTCTCCCTGACGCAGATCCATAAGTCCCTCGATAGAATCAGGGCCCTTGGAGGCTGCCTAGAACACTTTGCGTAGCTCAGCAGAAAAAGCCAGGAAGGAAGAGCAGGCTGGTGTTTGCCTCTCCCATTCGGCGTTGCCCCACAGTCGTGCCCTGCCTGTCAGGTGGTTGATGGTAAAGGCTACCTTAGCCTCCTCCGAGGCAAACGTGTAGGGCTGCAGGGAAAACAGGATGGAGCAGTTTGTGATGAATGGGTTGCAGCCCTCAGGTTCTCCAGCGTAGCGCTCTGGGGTGCCCACACGGGGCTCATGTGCTGGAGCAGGTGTCAGAGGGGCAGGAGGAGGAGCTGAAACTGCCTGCTGGGTCAGGACTGCTGTTAGCTGTTGGACCTGAGCGGCTAACGCAGCAAACGCCTGCTCGTGGACTGCTGCTGACTGACGTCTCTCAGTGGCGGTGTTGGCCATCAGTGCCTGTGAGGCGCGTGAACAGTGTCTCCCATATAATCTTTCCACGGTCAAAATAAGTTTGTGGCTTTGCTTAAGTGACCCCACAAGTTAAAGCAATTTCACAGAAAATGTGAATCTTATCAATTTAATCTCGGTGGCTTTCAATGAGTTAAAACAAAAAATACAACTAGTGGGTAAGAAACACTGATAAAGTGGCAACATGAGGAATAGCTGGTAGGATGATAGCCCCTCCCTGTTACTATGTGACTGTCAAGTGTACTGTAGCTTTCTCCATCCCTATATTATCTGTATGAGTCAACAAAGAGGACATCAGAGGCTAGCGGGTGAGACGGGTCAAACAAGACATCCATTGATTTTTAGAAGCGCAAAGCCTAATGGACGTGTAACACAGAGGTTTTTTTCTGTTCTGGACATAAGGTAAGAAAACTGACCTTTGGCCAATCAATAATTTGTCAATAAGTGCGTCTATGCAAAGTTTGAACAGAACCAACTGATTTTCTGTTTTTGTCTCAAGTGTTAAGAGTATTTGTAAGCATTTAGTGGGGTGGCAGGAGCATAACTATCAGGTTTGTATACAAAAAAAACTATATTTAATTCTGATGCCCCATCTGAAAGTGTAGGGAAATATATGTCTAATAAAATTCCCTAAAAGATTGTTTCATCCAAACTGCAGTCCAACTGAAGTCAATTGGAATTTTAAAAAAAAGTTAAAAGTGAAATGTACATCTTGTAACGTTTCATGTTACATTGAGTTCATTATTTACAACTTCTTCGACAATGTCTTCATTTGCATTTTTTTTTATTTGGAACATAACTCTCGAAGGGCACAGACCATCACTGTATATATATTTGAATTTTTGGCCCCTCATTTCCCTAGTCCTTTGGACTATAAATAACCAAGAGGAGCACTACAAAAGTTTGATCAACGTCTGAGTCAACAAAGTGACAAATGAGTTGACAAATGTATACATTACATGTTTGCCCAGCCTCCAATCCTGAGATCCTGAATCTAAAATAGGTATATGAAATAGTCTCTATACACCTTACTGCTTACTTGTATGCATTTACATGCTTGCATTTTGAAGGTGGTCCACTCTGTTGACTTAAATTCATGGTCTTTTCATTAACAGAAGCTGCTGGAGGAAGTAGTCAACACACTGTAAAACACACCTCAGTCGGAGCATCTGTGCCTCCGTAGCTGAAAAGACAAAATGACGTCATCGACGCTCATTTCAAACCTCACACAGGAATGGGTGGAGAGCCTGCAGAGGTGGCACCTGGATTTGTTATCCATCCCAGCCACAGTCATCACTCTGGCCACCTTGCTGGCCGACCCCGTTCTCCTAACATGCATTTTCCTGTCCCGTGCCCTGCGTCAGGAGACGCGTTACCTGCTGATGGCCAACACCCTGACGGCGGACATGCTCTTCCTCGTCCTCAACCTGGCCATGGTGATCTGTAACGCCACGAGAGCTCAGATGTCCTGGCTGGTCTGTCAGCTGATCACAGCCGTCACCGTCACCACCTACAGCTGTGCCATCCTCACCATCACCCTGATGGTGGTCGACACCTACGCTGCGGTTTGCTGGCCCCTCCGTTACCATGACCTTCTTCCACCTGCCCGCACCCACCGCATACTGCTGGGGGTGTGGGTGCTGGCAGCCCTGTACCCTCTCAGCCTGGTGATCATGATGGAGGTGGAGAGGAAAAATCCGCACGAAAGGGTGGCTGTGTGTCTGGTCCTATTCTCCCTTGGCTTTATTAAGCTCAAGACCAATGGGTGGATCTACGTCTACTTCTTCGTAACTGCGGTCATGTGTGCCATACTCATTTTTGTCTGCTACATTCGGCTCTACATGGTAACAAGGACCCAGGGCATCTGGCAGAGCCGCTTCTCCAGGGCCCGGGTCACACTGCTGGCTCACGGGGTCCTTCTCCTGCTCTACTTTTCCCCCGGCTTTGTTTTCATCATGGAGCTCTACCTGTTCCAGAGGAAAGACATAAGTCAGGATCTACGAGTGTGGGTCAGCACAGTCAATATGTGTGTCTTCATGTTGCTGCCCAGGGCGTTCGCTCCATACCTGTATGGGCTGAGGTACAGGGAGATCTCTGACACTCTGATGCAGTGGCTGCACCAGCACAGGAGACTCAGCCAGACCACAGTTTCATGAAGACACCTGCAAACTGTCCGTTATTCAAATTTCTTTCATGGAATTGATTGTGATGTACATATTTTCAGTTTTCTCAGTTGCCCTCCAAAAAGACAAAGATGTAACTGCAAGGGCAGTAGTCAGGATGAGTCAAAATCCCCCCAGTGCATTTATTTTTATTTTGACTAGCCATCAAAAACAGAGTCTATTTATTACAATATAATGTTTGTTGGTGAATATTGTCTAAATGCTGTTTCAAACCTTTCCCCAAATTCCCAAGAACACAGAAGAAACATTCAAATATCTTCATTTTATCTTATTTTTGGCCTACAGCTATCATATTTAAGAACATTGATTGTAAAACACTATGTGTAATTTGTGTCTAAATATAGAACAAAACTCCTCCTCAACTCAAATTCCAAGAAACAACATTGAGGACATGTCCTCTGTGTTCTCAATGGTAGCTACAGCCCTGGTCGCTGCCCAGTAAAATGTAAATTGGTTATTCAACATCCCTGCCAACTGTAGTCTTGTGTGTTTTTTGTGTTTGATAATAATAAAAATAACTATTTTACTGCTGTGTGGATCCAAATGAGAATATGCTGAACTTCCTTGCTTTCCAAGTTTATGTCTGTGTTGAGGAAATTTGTAATCCCATTTTAAAAAAAGTAAATAGTACATCATCATGATCCTTATTATATAATATAAAAGCCACTCAGCCTCAGTTTTATGACCACACTGTGGTAACAAAGCACTCAACTCCATTTGCCCTCAAAGCTGTGTTTATCTAAAACTGGATGTCCATTAACAAATGGCTGACTGACTTTAAGGCACTAGAGGAAAGAAAAGAGCACCTTCCCTCATTAAGGTAGGTGTGTGTGGACAGTGAAAAGTGATGAGTCAGACACCTGGCTTTAGGGACTTTTCTCCATCTCTACTGTATAACTGGTACACCAACTCAACAGCAGAGGGACACATTTGTCTGTCCACTGTGTCACTGCTCTGTCCTGTGTTTGCTTGGTAACACGTGTCCCATTGCTCACTGTCGCCTTCCTACTGTATCTGGATCACATATGAACAAATATCACATGTTCTATTGTTTGCCATTTTTCTATCAATTTTCATGGCACAGCTCTAATTACACAACATACCAGATACTTTTCTTTGTTGACTGATACAACTGCTTTTCCGTGGACATGGTTGCACTTGGCAGTGTCGCTTGCCCTGCTTATCTTCCTCGCGAATTTCTCTGATTACATGGTTTTGTCCTTAGTGAACTTGAACAGCAGGGCCCCAGGGGGGGGGGGCACAACAACCTCCTTTTGCAGTATTCTCTCCTAAGCTCGGCTGTGTCCATCTGTTTCCTGAAGATGGTCGCTGAGTTGCTGATGTGTCTCAACTTCTGGATGTTCCAGTGAGTGTGTTTTGCTGATGGTGTAGCCTACCTGTATGACCTCAGAGGTCACTGCTCCACGTTAATGGTAGTATGCCTGTACAATGGTGGTCGCCCAGTGAGTAAAACACCTGTGTGTACATTTCAAAGTATGCACAGACAGTAACTTTAACTGACATACTGTTCGTATGATGTGTAAAGGGTACAATCCCCCCAGTACTACTACACGCTCACAACATCGTGGACACTTCCAGGGAACCCAGATGGGAGCTCTCAGAAATATTTTGCAACAGGGTAAAGAAGTTGTGACATCCTTTGTTCCAACTAAATTCCCTCCCTCTCACCTGAAAAGAACATTGGTGCCTCGTTTCAACCTGTGTATTTCCACGTGTCCCCGGGATCACATTCCAGCTGTTTTTTGTTCGGCACATAATACTTCGTGTGGTTTGTTTTGCCGTTGTATCGATGTAACATATACGTGTATACATATAACATATTTGTACATATAATAGTAATAATGCGTATTTAATGACGTGTGTCTATAGAATGTATGGTTAATACCATCGCACTAACTGTCCTCTACGTGTTAATATGAGTTACGCCATAACGCTGACTGCTTCGCGTGTGTTGCTCAACCGCTGTTCCTTCTTGTTGTGAACTTTTTTTCTCCACCGAAAGTTTGTTTGCAAACAAAGGACGGCCACGTGGAGGACCAGTGGCGCTCGGGAAGTGTTGTTTCTCATTGGGGCAAAACGTCTGCGACAACAATCACTAGAACTCAATTTCCCATGATGCACTAGCAGCACCAGCTGAGTGGGTGCAGTGGGATGTTTTTGTTTTTTTCGGCTGACAAGTATATATGGGTTCTGTGTTTACTGTTAGCTAGTTGGAGCTCTCTGTTTTTGCCATCTCCTAAAAGTCAAAATGTCCCGGCTACGTAACAGCCTTCTTTGCTTTCCATAACTATACGAGGGCAGACATCGTAACATATATCGATAAACTATTTCAGGATTAGATCTATTTTCGTCCATACTTGTTTTTGTGTCCACTGTTAAGAGAAGAGGAAGCTTCATCTGGAAACGTCTGCGTAAGTAACACGTTCTGTCTATAACAAAGGATGTTGTTAGTGAGTTTGTGAGATCTGAGTTTATCATTATTTCTTGCTTTCCTGTTGAATTTTGTCACAATGTTGAGTTAAGCAACTGTTAAGCTGGTGTTTATGTTAGTATGTTGTCAAGGGCTAACGGTCGGCACGAGGAAGTCTCCTTTGTCTAATTAGCCGAAACTACAGTGTTTCCTCTCCTTTCAGTGACCTGGCACCACATAGCACACATATATCTTACATGATTGTCTGTAATTAATACTTAAATACTGGGATGTTATGCCAATTCATGTTTTTTTTTAAATTTTAACTAAATAACAGTACACAGCACAATCAAATCTGCTTTTTTTGTTTTATTGGTATTCTTTTTATATTTAATTTCACTCCTCAGTGGGTATTAGTCACAATGTAAATGCCTCTGCATCAGACACCTCTGGCTAAACCTGTCCTCTGCTCTAAGTTACATGACTTCAAGGAGGCGCTGCTGCAGGCAAATAACGCACAATAGGTTTGAGTCTGAGCCACAGTTAAAAATAACCTGAGATAAATGACCTCACAGGAGGAAAAGCCAGACCTGACATTTTTAACACAGACAGTATGACCATAGATAAAACAGTTCTATGTTTAATATGATATCTTCGTGTTTTAATGTGTCTTAATACACACACAGTCTTTGTTGATGTGAACAAAGTATACCTCACAGGGAACTTGTTTGCCTTAAATACACAAATGTCGTCAGACTGCGGCTTTAAATAAAACAAAGAATATGACTCAAGGTCACTGACTTTGCACTCGTTGTTCAAACAAAGATTATGTGCTGTCTGATATCCCTTTCCTCGCTCTGTTTCAAAACAACCTGACTACAGATGTGTACGGTTGGCATCAAACTCTCTCCCGGCTGTGTCTCTTTATCGTCTTCCATCTCGTGCATTGCAATGTGCTGCAGGGCACAACCGTTTGGCAGCAGTGATGAGCAGATTTCATTCCTTCAAGCTGTGTGGCTTTGTGGCTTTGCTCTGTGAGTGTATTGTTGGTCCGTGGTGAATGTTCTCAATTTGTGCTTACAGTGATCCAATTAGTTTGCTGGCTATCCCCATTCCCCTCCTACCTATCTGATAGGATGCCATGATAATAATAATATCAATGGAAATGTTGTTGTTTTTGTAATGATACTGAACTGCCTGCTCTCCATCCTCAGGTCATCTTGAAGTTTAGAGAAGGTCTACGTTGAAGGTGGCAGCCATGGTGTTGATTCTGGGCAGAAGGATGATCAGGGAGGAGTCTGGGATCAGAGACTCGCCGGCTGTCAAACGCAAGGTGCTCGCAAACGTTTTCCATCTTGCAGCTTTTGTCTCAACTGACTTGAGTCCCAAATTGTCAAAAACAACAACCTTAATACATGTTTGTTGTCTCCTCAGGTGTTTGAGGTTGACTCCAAAACGTTAGCCAGCCAGGACGTTTTGGACTTCTGTTCCGGCTCATCCCACTCAGATGGCATCCTGCAGGTCTTCAATGAGTTCCGCGACTGCCGCCTGTTCACCGATGTGGTCATCAGTGTGCAGGGCCGTGAGTTCCCCTGCCATCGCGCCGTGCTTTCGGCCTGCTCCTCCTACTTCAGAGCCATGTTCTGCAACGATCACCGCGAGAGCCGCGAGATGCTCGTCGAGATCAACGGCATCCTGGCCGAGGCGATGGAGTCCTTCCTCTCCTACGTCTACACCGGCCGCGCCAAGATCACCACAGACAACGTCCAGTTCCTCTTCGAGACCTCCAGCCTCTTCCAGATCTACACGCTGCGCGACGCCTGCGCCAAGTTCCTGGAGGACCAGCTGGACCCTTGCAACTGCCTGGGCATCCAGCACTTCGCAGACGCCCACGCCCTGAAGCAACTGGCTAGCCGCTGCCGCACTTACGCCCTGGCCAACTTCTCCGAGGTGGCTCAGCACGAAGAGTTCCTCACTCTACGCAAAGAGGAGCTAGAAGAGTACACCGGCAGCGATGAGCTGTCCATCGGCAAGGAGGAGGTGGTGTTCGAGGCGGTGATGAGATGGGTGTACCACAGTGTGGAGCAAAGGAAGCCCATGCTGAAGGCCCTGCTACACAATGTGCGCCTGCCCCTTTTGCACCCCAACTACTTTGTCCAGACGGTGGAGGGAGACCAGCTCATCCAGAATGCTCCAGAGTGCTACCAGCTTCTCCACGAGGCGAGGCGCTACCACGTGCTCGGAAATGAAATGATGTCACCCAGAACTCGTCCACGCAGGTAACTGAAATTTTGACCGACTAGTTATGAAGGACGGCGGCAGAAAATAATAGATATTATCTGCAAAAGGAACACAGACACTGATTATTAGACAACATATTTTTGTGGGAAGTATGACTTATTAGTCTGATTTTTCTTCTTCTTTTTTTTCTGACAGTCGATTTGTCTTGTTGGCTTAAAAACACCTCTTACCCTGTGATGACATAGATGAGGGTGAGATAGCAAAAAACAGCAACACATGTCTTTTTAAAGCAGTTCATTGATCTTGAACTCCACTTTGTATCGCTAAAGGTCACAACTCACGCATGAACTTTGTGACCCCTGCAGTGTTGTTGTTGCTTCTGTGCGTGTGCGTGAGAGAGATAGGGAGTGTTATTGTACTGAACAGACAGAGTGTGTGCCATTTAGTGAGCGGATTTATGTTTACTTATTTGAAAATGGAAACGATAATGAGGGAGGCAGGGCATGTTCCTACACAGACTGGTTGGCTGGAAAGAAGAAAAAAAATGATGTGATGCAAGAAATGGCAATCATGAAATATTGAGTCTTGTTATCAGCATGAGCACCTGTTCACTTTTTTTTAAAACCTGTCTTCCAAATGTTCCTTTATTTCCGTGTTATTTTAGTTTGAAGAGTGCCAACTCGGATGGGACAATGTGGTGTTTGACTAAGGACAAAAGTTGGCACTGACTGAAAGCGTATAAATGAGATACAAAACGGGCCCATATGGCAGCCTGCCGCACAACAAACAGCAGTGCAGCTGCCTTTGTGTGTCGGAACAACTTTCAACGGTGCCAGTTGTCGGGTAATTAAGGCCGTGTGGCGTGTATTTCAGGTGTATTGTGTCAGTATCCAGGCAGATCTGTCCAGATCAGCAAGCCCATCAGACAGTTAGTGTCTGCGCAGTCAGCTTTGTTTGCCCTGAGGGCCGAATGCTCGAGACAGATGCCTGGTCCTCCCCTTCTTGTGTCTACACCTGCCCCTTTGTCTCTTGATAAGCCTCTAGAATATAATTAATTGCACACACACACATGCACATATTAAGCTGTAATGCTCCTGGGCTTGACTGTCTCGTGTATACAAGCACATGAAACAGCTCGAATCTCCCACCTGCATCGGACCTATATCACATACTGAGTAAACAGACAGAGACATGTTTACATCGGTATCCAGAATGTACTGGATTTTATTTTATTATAGATAAACCACTCATAGTGTTTATCCTGCATCAGTATTTTAGAATGGCACAATAAGAAGAGAAGCTGTAGTTGATTAGCTCCCCCTAGGAAATGTGCTCATACCCACGGCATGCGCTGAAACAGCCAAATAGGAAAGCGTTGTGATCATGGAAATTCAGCCTCGCTCTATCCCCAAGTGTTTTTGCTGTATTGATTGATACTTTCATTCTAATCTGAACTTTGCCTTCGAGATAAGTGAAGCCATTCCTGTGGAACCCGCGTCTCTGTTCCTGCCCTGGCACAAATTTCTGCCGTGTATAATTAGAAATCCCTCAAAGTGCTGACATGTGTATGTTTGTATGTCTTCATAACCTTTTGTTTGGGCCTACAGACGTGGTGTGTTTTAATTAGATACCATGCCTGTAATTTCCACATTCTTGTACGGACCCTTTTAATTCTCACATGCTGGTGTTGTGTTTTGTGTTTTCATAATAGCCTTAGCTGTTGTTGTTATTTCCACTCCATCTCTAAATGTTTCCCTCCCTCTGACTTATCTTGTCTGCTCCCCCTTTTTCTACAGTTCGACTGGCTACTCTGAGGTGATCGTGGTGGTGGGGGGTTGCGAGAGGGTGGGGGGCTTCAACCTGCCCTACACTGAATGCTATGAACCCGTCACAGGAGAGTGGAAGTCACTGGCCAAACTACCCGAGTTCACCAAGTCAGAGTATGCTGTCTGCGCCCTCCGCAATGATATTCTGGTGTCAGGTAAGACTCCTGCAAAATATTACTTTCCTCACATGTTGTCTTTTATCTTGACTTTATTAATGAATAACTGAAATTGGCACAAATTCTATTACAACAACCTTTTATGTTGTTACACGCAATGTGATCAGGGTTGTTGCAAAATTCAGTTTCTCTTAATAACAGTAACCCCATACCCCCAAAATATACATCCACAAGTACACTCAGGGACATGGTCAGTGTCTTTCTTGGCTCGGCTTGCCGTCTAATCCCCTAGTGGAATGGCAGGAAAAGGCCACGATGGCTACTCGCCCACTGTTATTTTTACAGCGACAGCCTGTTTGAGTTGAAGGAAAATATGAGAGCAACATCTGGACGCACGCTCAGTGCTGAGAAAGGCCTTCATTGGCCGGCTCAGCCCCTCTCTCTCTCTCGCTATTGGTCAGTCATTGGGGTCACCACCTTTTGCAACGGTTCAGCAGCCTTCTAGGATATTGTGTATGCAACAATCTGACATCCCTTTTAGATTTTAGACTCCATCAACATGTTGTGATGTGATTAGCTTGTAATCAACCTGAATCTGAGATATCATTAATCTCATTGCCTCTTGGCAATGCTGTTGTATTTTTGACTCTTGGGCCAAGTGTGGCGTAAGCCTTGTTTTGTGTAAAAAAAAAAAAAAAGATCTGGATAAAACAAAACATCAGTAATACATCTTTCATCTGAACTGATGAGGTCAGGGTAAAGGTAGCTGCTGAAGCCAAACATTGATATAAACATGTGTGCTGCAGTTCTTATATGGTTGTTGGCTGGAGGGCATGGAGCTGGAGAGTTTTCATACTTTTTTTAGGGGGAAATTGTTTCCAAGAATATGAATTGTCAGAAGTCCAAATGTGCCTGTGGGGACCGTGAATGCTCAAACATGTTGATGAGCTGCAAAACATTACCGGACAACGCGGCAGTTAAGAAAAAGATATAGAGAAGAGAAAAAAGGGAAGAAGGAGATTTAGGGAAACGTTCCCCCGCTTCAGCAAACAGTGTTGCAGTGTTTTGCTCTCACTGTGCCAATTCCTCACGTGTTGGCTATCATTCTCCCCTCAAGCGCTGCCGGAAAATGTGAACATGCCCCTCCCCCTCGTCTTTCTGTCTCACACACATTCACACACACTACTGCTTCATAGCATATTGTGGTCTTCATTGCCTCACTTGGTCTTCTGACTTGAAACATTTAATCTCCGTTTTTAATCGGCTACTCTCTCAATTACATTCCCACACATACCTCATTCTGTCCGTCTGTCTGCCCCTCGCCTCACACTGGGGACTGGTGCAAATACCTTGGAGGGCCTCCAGTCTCACAGCACAGTTGCAGTTAGCTGTGGTCTTGAATAGGATGTGGCTCAATTGAGTATAGAAAACCCCTGAGAACAAGGACGGGGACCCTGGCAACCACTGACTTTCTCACCTCCGTAGCATTGTAATCAGCTTCTTTGTCAGACCCACAGTGAGCATGCTTTGAGTTCAGGAGTACATGAGGCTGTTTGCTACTAGCGTTGTCACAATACTTGAATATCTCACTTCGAAACAATACCTTGAAAAATATTGATGTTCAACATCATTTTTAGTATAACAGCGTCAAATTAACACATTTAAGGCATAAAAATTCGATTTTTATCAAAGAATTAATAGCAGTGCGTGTGTCAACTCTCTGTCGGAGAGAAGGGAGAGCAGAAAGCTCAGCTGGTGCCCGTCTATCAATACTGCGGAAAAATTTATATTGAAGAAATTTCAAATATTCGTTATCAATACGTTATTTTCGACAACAGGATTTGCTACACATTTGGACAATATCTTGTCACCTAATGAGCAGGAATCACATGAGCTTGCCTCACACATTAGGGAGGGGTGCACGTCATAGTCACAAGTAGCCTGACTTCTCTCATTTGCCTTTTCAGACAACAGGAATATTATAACACACTAAACTAGTTTGCATTAGCAATCAAACTGCGTATCACTTTAAGCAATGCATAACTCTCATAAAGCTGTCATATCTGGACATCCCAAAGTTGCCGCCTTTCGTTCTTTAAGAGCAATTATTTGCAGCAGTGGTCCTCCACGTCTGAGACAGTCGGACTGTTTTGGTGAGAAAAGAACGCCTTCTAAATATATTTTTTTAGGTTTGCAAGGCTCTCTTTCAAATGGTTCGTCCTCCGTCAACGTGTTTCCTACATGCCTCAGGGGCAGCAGACTCTCTGGCTCGTTCACTATCCAGCTGATTAGCGAGCAGACACATACTATGACTAACTTCCTAAACACAGACGCCTGAACATTAATTACATTATATTACCCATGTATAACCAGTTTATTAAAATATATGGCCTTTTCAAGGAGGTGAGTGATTTATTTTTATTTTTTTATTAGGATGAAACATGAGCCTGATAGCCAGTACTTCTTCTGAACCCATTGATGGATAAAAGCCAGCAGATAACTGCCACCGAATCTAATAACAGCGCAGTGGCCACAACATGTCTTTTAGATAATGTTACATTTTCCCTTTTTAACCAAAATTATTTTTCATGAGTTTTGATTGGTTAACCTACATTTCATCAGATCTTTTTCTAGCCTCCATGCTAAAAAGTTAGCCAGCCATTGTATTCTTAAAAGATTACTTTGGATTTTCCCTACCTCTGTGTGTGTGTGTGTGTGTGTGTGTGTGTGTGTGTGTGTGTGTGTGTGTGTGTGTGTGTGTGTGTGTGTGTGTGTGTGTGTGTGTGTGTGTGTGTGTGTGTGTGTGTGT